AAACAACAGAAAGTAACAAAATCGTCCCGGCAAGCGGGATGAAAGTTTCTCATATAAACAAAAGAGAAATTCATCCCGCTTACTGGGCTGTCTCACTAAGCAGGCCAGTCCGACTTCCATATAAACAGGCCCTTAATTGACATATGTTCCTCAACCAATTCAGAAGAATCCAAATTTTCCACATGTACAATCTCACTAACATTTCTCATTTTCGGTACACAGAACACAAGTTGGGGATAACTTTTCATCAGTCATTGCTTGAGTTTAAAAGCTCTATATTTAGATGCATCCACATTCAGACATTCTCAGTGTCCTTAGTAATGATAACAAATTTCTCCAGCAAATCTTTCATATACTTTATTTGCTTATTTCCGATGACCTCCATCTCAATTACTTTTTTACAGAATACATCATAAGACTTCTCGTACACTGATGCTCTTGTAACTTGTTGCTTCTTCGTCTCTCTGATGAGAAATATTGTATAAGTGCAGTAGCAAACTTTGTGATAGCGGATTTCCAGAGTTACACAGTCTTTCCCCTGGATTTGCACGAGTATCCGTTGATCATTCTTTCTCTCGGCAGCTGTACGGGCCTTTATATTTATAGCTTCTGCGACTGATTGACGTGTAATTTTTCGCCTTGGTTCTATTGCCTCCACTTCCCCGTGTGATTCTTCGGTAGAAGTTACAGTTTTACAGCCAGTTCCTTCTCCTTTTTCTTCTTTTCTCTGTTATCTACAGATCTTCTCTTCATCACAAAATGATGGTTCCATTCTAAGTTAATGGTGTCAGCACTGTCAGGGTTCTTCTCCATGTATAAATTGACAGATCCATCATCGATGTTCTCGTACGATTTCTTAGCTATTTCAGCTTGTTGACATTTAAGTTTGGCTCATTTTGACCAACACTCAAGAAATTCCTTAAGCCTTGGGCGTGTAACTTTGCAAAGTTGCTCCGTAACGCCATCGAAATGCATAAAACATGAGGATATTCGAGTTTTATAAATATCTTCAGCCATGTTTATTTGCATAACTTAGCGTGTTTCCACTTCGAAGCATGCTTTTTGGTTGTGCGCGTGCGCAGTGCGAGTTTGGGTGAGTTGCGCATGCGTATTTGCTATCAAAACAATGGCGGTTCGAATATTTCGAAGTGCGAAAATATCAAACTTTGGAGGGATTTTTCTCCCAATTGTGCACCTGTTTCGCTTGGGGAGCAACGGATTCTGATAAAGTAAGTTTTTATCTATTTATTCATGTGGAAATTACGTAGTTACACGAGGGGTGCAACGGAATCCGTTTTCTAAGCATCTTTTGGATGCTCATCCTACGGCCTATGATGGCCTTATCGTTTACTCATCGCAACACTCTTGTAAGATGCATGACAGCCAGTGTATTTTATCGATTTCGTGTGGTCTCGTCTGGTTGTATTTTCATTGTGTCATTGCCTAGCTATCCTGATGCTGTTGTGCGTCATCCGCCATATCGATTCAGTAACGAACATACGTATGTGGTAAATATTGTTGCCCCCGTAGAATTGTATGAAATAATATATTTTCTCGTGTTGATATTATAACTTTTATTATTACGCCAATATGAATACTTATTTATGGTTTAACCGTTCGTATAAACTTCTCGTCTCTCGTCCCTTCACTGTTCGTTAGTCTCAATAATAATGTTCTCAAAGTCTCAAGTAGAATCTATTATTTTAAAAAAGTATACGCGTCTCGCCATGTCTCGTCTCGCTCACATCTCGCTTTGTTATTTTGTTTGATTGACAGTTCTTAACTAAAGTTATTATCGCGTGACGTCAGTCTACGACACACTCCCCCCATATATCTCTTTAGGAGATATATGTCTAACAGTAGACTGATTCCATATGACTATTGTTTCTTTAACTTTGAATGTCAACTCAACTGTATACGATTAAATGTTCCTTCAACGTTCCAATCTTCAACGATCATCTGGTTGCGAAGCCTCGCTGCAACCGCTGCGTCTCTTTTCGGCCTGAACTCGGTGGCCTCTGCATTCAACTCGGTGGTCGTCTTGGTTATCTATCTGTTTTCAATGTCACAACTTAACTCTAATGGATAAAGATGTTGCACTGGTCGTTCCATGAAACTTTTCCCCGCACGTAGCTTTACCGCTCTTACGAGACCATCTTTCCCTTCGTAGAGTTCTTTAGGTAACATTCCAGGTGGCGGTTTGACCACAGCAGTTGCTTGAAATCTGCGACAGCCACAACAGGCTTTGACTTGTCGTTTAGCCAAACTTCTCAATTTGGGTATCCAATACCTCTTTCGAATCTGTGCCATTGTTAACCCGACACCCCCGTGGAGAGTGCGCAAGTGCGCTTCTTGTACTAATTTCTCCGTCAATGTGCTCGTGTTCGGTAAGTAAACTGGGTTTTCGCCTTGTATGCGACCATGACACAGAAGTACCTCTTGATCATTTTCTTGTAGGTTAAATTGTTCTCGATCTTTCTCAATGTCACTCTCTCGTTGGACTCGCTTGATCCACCACAGATGAGCGTTTTCAATCTCTTGAGTTGTCAGAGCACCCCGTTGACTCTCTTTGGTTCTGCAGTTGCTTGTGAATCTCGGGATCCAGGCACATACTCGTAGTGTACGATGAAGGTCGTGCTTTTCCAACAATCGATCAAATTCGTCAGCTACTCGCTGGGCTTGTGTTGCACAAAGAACCTCTCGAACCACTTTGGCTTCAACTTCAGTAGCTGTGGATGGTTGCGTTTCAAGGTTGTCTGGCCATTTCTCTGGATCGTCCAACCATTCTGGACCGTTCCACCACAAAGATTTATTGGACAAACGTCCTCCTCGACTGGCTATGTCTGCTGGGTTGTCTTTCGTGGGTACGTGTCTCCAACTTATTTCTGGGTGTTGATTTATCTTGGACACTCGATTGGCGACGAACTGGCGGTATTGTCCTTCTCCACGAATCCAATGGAGAGCGACGGTGCTATCTAACCACCCATAGATTGTTGGTTTGGGAAGGTTTTGGAGCGCATTTTGGACATTCTTCACTAGATTGGTCGCCATGTGCGCGGATATCAACTCCAGACGGGGAATTGTAAATCCTTCTTTGGCCAATCTAGATTTGGCCGTTACTAATTGTTGTGTATTCCCAGATTTTTGTCGCACTACGGAGTATACCACTGCTCCGACACCTTTCGTCGAGGCATCACCAAAAGTGTGGAGTTCTACATTCAAAACTGGCTCTCGGTATTTCACTATTGGACGTGGTATGGTTTCTTCCTTTGGCAGAGACTTTTCCCATTCGTTCCAGCGACGGCTTAACGGTTCTTGAATATCAGCATCCCATGGTACTTTAGTCTTGCACACATCCCGAAAAATTTTTTTTCCTTCCAATGTGATGGGTGACACCATACCTAGGGGGTCTTAGACTTTTGCTAACTTACTAAAGATTGTGCGTTTGGTTGTGGTAGAAATACTGTCAACGGTTGGAAAAGATACAGTTAGAGTGTCCGACGATTTGTTCCACTTTAACCCGAGCATTGTTGTGTCAGTTGAATCACCACCTAACTGCTGTTTGGCGTATGTTTCTTCGTCGTTTCCCGCTGAAGGTTCACCGTTCACTTCAAGTTCACTTACGTTTGAGTTCCATTTATGTAACTTGAATGAGGCGTCTTCGAAGATTTCAACCGTTTTCTCCTTTCGATCTTCTGCTTGTGGAATGGTTTGCCCACCGGTGAGCAAATCATCTACATACAAACTTTTGCGTAATTCTGCGACGATATTAGGGTACCTTTCTTCCCATGAGTTGAGATGCTGCTCGATCACTCCAGCGAGGAGAAATGGGGAGGGTGCCAACCCAAATAACACTCTCGTAAATCGCAACGTTTCTAACTGCGAATCTTCTTCACTTCGCCAGTAGAATCTCAGGGCATCGCGTTCGTTCTCTCTGACTCTCACCTGCAGAAACGCCTTTTGAATGTCCCCCGACACCACGACCGGATAACCACGCTGATGGACAAGTACATCCCATAGCTTATTTTGGAGTGCAGGGCCTGCGTACAAACAGTCGTTAAGTGACGGACTGTCACGTGTCTCTTTGGCCGACGCATCGTACACGATTCGCACTTTCGTAGTTTTCGCCGTTTCTCTTACTACCGGTTTATGGGGTAGGTAAAACTCTACCCCCTTTGCTGGACTCTCGGCTGGCTCAACTACTCCACTCTGCTTCTGATCTTTAATGATAGCGTCGTACTCACTCATCAGCCCCTCGCGTTTCAGCTTAGTAACCAGGCTTTCGAGCCGGCGTCGACTTCCCTGTTCATTCGTTGGTAATGTTGGGAAATTCCCTCTCCACGGCAATCCCGTCTCATACCAGCCTTCGGGGTTTCTGGTGAGCTGTTCTTTGAACTCGTTGTAAACTACCCGTTGATCGTGTTCGGGAGCATCTTCAAGACCAAGAACGTCAAGGCGACACAACTGTTCGTAATCCAACTGATTTGTTTGAGTGAGCAACATTGTCTTCCTGTCGAATTCTTTCCCTGGTGACATCAAGAACCATCCTAGTTGAGTCAGCTCTGCAACTGGTTCCATGTCCTTTCCAACTCTAGGCGGTGCCTCAGTTTTTATTCTAGAGTAGTCTCCACTGCCCAGAACAACATGAACAGGAAGCATTGGTTTTTTGTCTTGATCTTTTATTGTCACTCCCGTCAAGTGTGGATATTTTTGGATAAGATTTTCGTAGTCAGGATTCTCAAGGAAAAGCAATTCTGGCTTATCGACTTTGATTAAATTTGTTGTCATGGCGAAATTGTTCTCTGTTGATTCAATCTTAACTTCGTATGTCTCTAAGCGTGCTTGTTTTGAACACATAAGCATGTCGATCTTCTTCCTTTGTACATCTAGGTGTTTAATGTGAAGTTCGTGTATTAACCTTGCTGATGCGTGGGAACTTCCCGCTCCAGAGTCTATCAAAGCTCTGCATAAAATTCCGTTTACGCACACGTTCACAACAGGGAAAACACCTTCGCTCGATTGGTTTGTAGTGTAAAGTTTTTTACTACCACCGTCCCCCCCCCCCCGGAACTTCCTGCTGGTTCCCCAGTCCGGTCACAGATGGATGTGTGATGACGTCGATGGCATTGTTGGCAACTTCTCTTACTTGGACACCCAGCAGCAAATTTCCTCTGTGGGGGTAGTGTGGATTTTTTCTGGAACGACCCATTTGAGAAATGCTTTTGCACAAATTTTAAATTTTCTTACAAACGCAACTCATCACTGTATGTCAGAATACTGTTCTAAGTTGCAACTAAAATCCAGAGGTCTAAAAGGCTCAAGTCAATTCCACTGGAGTTGAACATGTGTTAACTGCATGTTTATTTCAAATCACCAAAACACATTAAAATAGCCCCCCAAAATGGCACTTTATTAACTAGAATTTTAAAAGTCTGCATTGTACTATATAATTTATACACGGATAGCTTGGGAATCCAAATATATTTTTACATAATAACAAAATTTATTCAAACTAGTGCAGGCCCCTCCTGGGGATTTCAGTCCCCCTTGAAGCTCCTGGGGATTTCAAGTCCCCCTTGAAATCCTGGCTACATCACTGCTCAATTCCATTGTCAATGATGATGTTAGCATGATTAGACAGAGTAGGTTAACAAACTAGTGTGAATTATGAGATAATCCATTGAACACCATGCAGTGATCTATCCTAACATATAAAATCATTTGGTGTTAGACAGTCAGAGTAAAATACAATGTATAACTTAATAGGTAAGATAATAATGGCCAGAACTAAATGATAAACAATATTTTAATAATAAACCCAAATTAGTTCTGCACCTTTGGTTTTTATAACACTATTCATTCCAATACTAGAACCTCAATTGTCGTTAATTAAAATGTATTTCAGTTGGCAATTAACAAAAGTTGCGGTTTCATCCGATGACATGTATGCTTCTAACCATGCTGTCCATGCAGGTATCTGACAGTTTTTAATTTTCAACATTTCCAAAGCGACTATTCTCAAGATTTGCCAAAAAAGTTTTCCAAATAAGTACAAATTATATTACATCACTCATCACTGTTCATTTTACATTCTTCAAGTAGATGCATGTTTACAGTACAGTATATCTTGTGTATTTATAATTAAATCTTGCAATATCTTGTTCAAAACCCTCAAATCCAAGATAATCGGCAGCCAGCCATGTTACCAGTAAGATTTCTAGTTTGTTGACTTTGAAATGACCAAGGTTGTACTCGAGTATAAATATTTATGCTTTAATTATTGAATAGCCCCTGTATGTCGCTGACAAGGTATGCTTTTGTCGCGATATAAGATGTTCTTTGCTCGCCAAAGGGCTTATTTTACGCATAATTGTATCTCTAAATTGATCATTCCTGACTTTAAATTCCAAAAGCCAGGCGAGAAGCAGTTTAAGACGTCTTTACAAGTCCAAATTTATTATAAATTGCAACAAATAATGCATTCTCACTTCTTGCGTAAAAATATGCCCAGTCAGCGTTTTTAGCTGAAGCTACTGTTCACTACCGCTTCCGGGGGGCACCAATGTTCTTTGGTGTTCCGGTTTGGATTATCTCAGGGCCTCTGAGAGCAATAAGCGCAGAAGCCCTGGGTACGAGCTTGCTAATACTCCATGCCAAATTACTACCAACAATAGCATAACACACGTGCTTAAGCGCATAATTCGGGTGGTGAATATATCATTTCATATTCACCGGATGTGACGCAGGATGAAAGTAGCGATACTGGTTGTTACTGCTGACATTAGCGGGTTACAAAACGGAAAATTGCGAAGCGGACTGCTGCAATTAAGATCAAAGGCCTTGAAATCTTAATCTTAAGTGGATTATAAGTACTGTCATCATTATCCTCAAATCTCTTGGCGTCTTGAGACGGACTTGTCATGACGTAAATCATAGACGAGAATTATCTTTTGAGGGGTATGACGAATTGAACCTGAAAAGAGCCAAATTGAAGGTCCTTCTGCCAGAAAATATTACTATTTGATTCTCCGGGCTTAACTTTCCACGCTAGAAGTCACAATTTTTAAGACACTCTTAAGACACACTTCATTTATTAAATGTAAAATTGATATTATCGAACTTGACTTCACAGAATCTCCAGCTTAAAAATGTATTTGTACAAGACGGCGTTAATAATTAGACACGTGTTCAATGCAGATTTACTATGCTCAGATTTACTTTACAGATGCTCAACTAGTGTGATAATTGGCACCAAGTAGTTTTATCCCACTTAGCAAAGTTTCAATAATTGTTCTTACAATTTATTTATCTCTATAATGTTTTCTCCATTGATTATCTCTATAATGTTCAGTATTAAATGTAAACTTATAGGGTAGGGTAAATTAATACTTGCTTTAGCTGACACGCCTTGGATTACCCTGGATTCCAGAGCCTTCGACAGTAAATAATAAATTGAAAAGTCGCGAAGGCTCTAATTCAACGGGGGCGATTCTTTGATTAAACCGCGCACAACCACTAATTCTGTTTTGTGATTGGCGCGGTTTAATCAAAGAATCGCCCCGTTGAACCAGAGCCTTCACGACATTTCAATTTATTATTTACTGTCGAAGGCTCTGGAATCCAGGGTAGCCTTGGATTGGAGTTTGTCCCGTCCATGCATGTATACTGTAGGTATTTTCGTGGTGGAAAATGAAATATATTAAATTAAATCACTCAATCTCTATCTTGTAGGACTGATAGTACAACGCATGGCTCTAACAGGTGGAGCATCTCCTGTTGATTATCTCAAAGCTTTTAACATAACTTTATTTTTGACAAGTGAAGAAAAAGATGTTGAAGAAGCTCTGAAACAAGGTGAGGAAAAGGGTTTTTTATCTTTATCTAGTCTTTGTGCTTGCGTATAATGCGTATCATTTAGGTACAAGGATGTCGTCAACGTATAGGAACGGAACACTTCAATTTACATGTCTTCATCAGGGTCGCTTATGTTTTGAAGGATGCAACGCCGCTAATTTCACCGATCTATGTGTGGTGCGGCAGTGACCCGGCGCGCGTGTGTTTTTATGCGAGAATCAACAACAGATTTTTTTCTCCAGTTTTTTCAATTTTTCTCATTTTTAGTGCAGAGTTTCTTTGAAACTGCACTATTGTGATTACTGGGAAAATTCACATCAGTCAGTCAGTCAATCAGTCATAGAGTTAACTTTCCGGGGGGTGTATTATGTGTATACGATTTATGTTTGTAGTGATTTATTGTGCTTTGAAGGTTATTTAGGCAATTTCAGTTGTTTTATTTAAATATTCTTTTATTCTTTTGCCAAGTTCAGAAAAATTTCGAGGAATCGTTGTCGTTATTGTAAATTTTTGTAAATTTTATAACATTCGCTTCTCATGTTGTGTGAAGGATCTTTCCCCCGGAAAACCCATATTTTTCTTTAGCAACGCAAATGCGCATGCGCTATCAAGCCGTAGGTCACGATGGCGTGACGATGCTAGGAAGGAGCGCTGGAGCGACACAGTGTTGTTTTCAAATTATAAACATTTTAGATGTGAATATTGAGTAAATCTTTGAGAATCTACGCAATATATAAATCGATGTTATGCATTACGGACATTCAATTAAGTATCCATGTTATTTTGAGGGTATATTCATTGTACAGAGCTAGGAAGCAGCGAGACAGTGTTTTCAAATGTATAAACATTTCAGACGTCTATTATTTTGAGAAAATCTTTGAGATACTACGCAATATATAAATTTGATGTTATGCATTACGGGCATTCAATTAAGTACCGATATTACTTAGTTTGACGGTATATTCATTGTACAGAGCTAGGCGAAGCAGCGAGACAAGTGTTGTTTCGAATTGTATAAACATTTCAGACGTGTATTATATTGAGAAAATCTTTGAGATACTACGCAATATGTAAATTGATGTTATACACTTATTGCATCAAGTGTCAATATTAGTTTGACGGTATATTCATTGTACAGAGCCAGTAAGCAGCGAGACAGTGTTGTTTTCAAATGTATAAACATTTCAGACGTGTATTATATTGAGAAAATCTTTGAGATACTACGCAATATGTAAATTGATGTTATGCACGTAATGCATTCAAGTGCGGATATTAGTTTGACGGTATATTCATTGTGCAGAGCTAGGAAGCAGCGAGACAGTGTTGCTTTCAAATGTATAAACATTTCAAACATAAATATTGAGAAAATCTTGGTTTACGTGTCTAGCACAACGTCAACGGTGCAAACTCGTGTTCAGACTTCAGTGCAACGAGAACTCTACCAGATCTTACGAGAATCTATCTGTATCAAAGCTTGTCAAAACTGCTATAAACACTGCTATAACTGTGAAACCATTGAAATATTGATTACATGCGAAAAGCTGAAAATGACCATGAACACAACGTGACCTTCAAAATAACTCAAGGGTCAGTGAGCTTGTTATTGTCACACGTCACAACTAGGTTAAAATGCGGAAGCGGATGCGAAACGGAGCGGATCCACGGAACGGATATGGAGATAAAATGCGGAACGGAACGGATTTGGATAAATCCTCTTTTTTACGTTTCTGTGTTTTAGATTTGTTCTTTTTTGTAATGGAATACAACGTCGTAGTGCTTATTAATTATTCATAACATATCTTATACAGCTATTTCAATTAAAGTTGTGACTGGGACAATTGTCAAATGTACAATATGGGCACTAAAACGATGATGGCATTGGCAATAATCATAGATTTAAGTACTATTTAAAGCACGCGTAGGAGTGTTTTATCATATATAAAACACGACTCGTAGCGGAGTGTTTTATATGTGATAAAACACGACTACAAGTGCTTTAAATAGCTTCAAAAACGACTCATCTTATACGAGTTCATTGGCGAAGTAATTTTTAAAATAAACTTTGTCTAAACCGAGAAAATCAAAGCTAAAGTTTATGTAAATTAACATGATTTTTTATCACATATAAAACCACGACACGCTTATGATTTTTCTTTGTGTTTTGCTTTTTCTTTGTGATTTATTAATGAGTTTTCGAAATAAGTTTAGCATATCAGTAGCCTTGTGGGGATACTTGGCGACAGCTACAATAAATTGTGTTAGTTCCACGAAGCACGACGTTCCTGATGTGTTAGGCTTGTTTTAAACGTCGGGTTACTCGTGTGCCGAACGCATTAAAAACAATAGATAATGAGATAAAATGCCTATGATAACTGTTTATTTCGTAGTGTAACCCATCAGCTTTTCTAGGTTGTCGGCGATCCTATATAATCCTTGCCGTGTCTTTTAATTTCGAACTTTACAACATAACAGAAATTATGCCTTGTCACTATAATATTATATGGGTAAATAAATAATATTACGTAACTTTCGTTATTCTTCAACCGTAGAGTATTATATTTAAACCAGATCTTAGCATTTTTACTGTTGTAACAGTTCCTCGCGCTATTACGACATGTGATTAAGGCTATAAACCACGCTTGAAAAGCTATTCAATTAATAAGCATGCCTTATAGCGTTTGTCTTTGAAACTCTGCACTATCCTTGGATCGCTAGTCTTCACTTGTGAAAAGAAAATTACTCAGGTTGACAAGTACAATATTGCTTTTCCTAATATTATATTTTTGGCGCAGAAATCATTGCGAGAGAGATTTATTGTGGAATATCGACCTTGCTGTTTGACTTTGCCGATTTTCATGCGGCAATTTCAACAGAACCTATAAATGTTTGTTGTGCTGGAGTTTAGTCGCTCAATATCTGATGCTTATATCGTACGTAGTATGACTTAGGGCATTATTACAAGCTGAAAACGACGCTTTTCGTTTTTTTATGCGAAAGTAACTTTTTCCACTGTATTTGCATCAGTTTGGTAACTGCAATTAGGGTATATATTCGATACAATTTTGGCCAATCTCGTCTGTTCATATTGTGAAGCGTTAAAAACCTGCGCCTGCGTGTGTATTTACAAATATCAAGCTTTTCGTAAATGAGTCACAAATGTTTGTTTCAATTAGCCTTTCTCACGATAACGAATATCCGCCATTTTTGGGTGGCATCCAAATCTCGTTATCCAATGCAGACAATTAAAACAATGTGAAAAGCAATTTTTCAAAACATACTAACCATTTACAAAGCAAATTTACCATCATTCGTCAAAAAAATTATAGAAAGTCGCTGTTATGTGGATTTATCTCGCAGACGTCGGCTGAAATGCCACCCAAAAATGGCGGCGTGAGAAAGGCTAATTTAAGAATTAAGTGACACATTAATCAAAGTCAACAGTCGTTAAAATTAAGCCACACATTAAAATATTTAAGCCATACATCAGACTAACTATCCTGAACAAAGACTTTAAGATGGTCAACTTTCAGTTATGATATGTCTGCTGAGAATCCAATTAAATTTTAACTGTTATTTTAAGATATAAACTTTAGGCTAATTAAGGAGCTCCAACATGCATGCCTGAGTTTTTAGGTGTCGGCGGTAAATAGACAAGCGATATTCATTTTTGAAACTTAATTGTTAACTTCGAAATAATAAGAATAAGAATAAGAATGGAAACTATATTTAATTTTGTAAACTTACAACTGCAAATCTCACTATATAAGGTAATTTACAATGGACAACTTGATATATTACTATTAAATGATTTTATAACGCACGATTAAATTTACTCTATTGCTCTATATACATACTTATACAATAAAAATTTTAAAGTTTCGTCAAGTCCGGATTCACCCAGTTCTTATTTCGACAACAAAAAATGTAGTAGGTTAACCTTATTGCAATATTAATAATCTTTTTAATAACGTATCTTACATGAGCTTTATCTGAATTAAAATGTTCTAACATGTCTATAAAACCAGAAGATTCCTTGTCAAACACTAATCGAAAGGTTGATGAAGTTTACCGCATGATAATTTTTCTTTTGTTCCATAATCATATCTTTATACTTGGAGTATTTCCTGTTAACATTATTTCTTAGTCTCATATCCAACGGTTAATTCCAGAATATACAGACGATTGTCTTTCGTCAAAATTAGTAAATCAGGCCGATAATCATCACCAGTGATTGTAGAAGGATTACACAATGACGACAAATCAACATAAATGGTCCGGATATGTTCTGATAGAAGGTTATTAGCAGTGAAATTTAGAATTGAGTCATGTCTCCAAGTAAATCGATCGAGGTAGGAACTGCAACCAGCGACGACGTGCAATAGAGATTCGGGATTAATGCAGAACGAGCATTCAGGAGACGAAGATAGCCCCCATCTTTGAAGGTTCTTACGGGTTGGCAGGGAACTGTTGAAAATGTTTTTAGGTAATTTTGACTGACAGGCTGGCCAGATCGTATTTACTTGGGTTATGGAAAATCTTGATACACTGGTAAAGATTGAGCCTTGGTATGTTAGTTGGTTTGTTAATTTATCTACTTGATCATCACGAAATGACTTAATCACTTCCTTCGTCGAACTGTATTGGTCGTATTGAATATTAGTATGATTAGTTGTTGACTTCCAGAGGTGGATTATTGATTCATTAGGAAATGATTTTGAAGCATTCCGAATTGTTACCTGGCATTGTAAAAACTTAGTTTATGGGGAGATGATGTTAAGACCAAACTTGTTGCTGGTTAGGTAGATGTTACTCAGCGTTCCAGAAATAGGTACCTCAAGCCATTTGCGAACATATTGCGTAAATAAAGAATCCAGGTTTTCCGAAATCCAGGCTTTTGAAATAGATGTAATAGTAAGATGCCAGGAGAGTTTCGATAAAACATAACATTGTAGAGTAGAATCTTGTTCTTCGGATGTAATGAATTGAGATCTATTTTTTTCATTAGATTTGTTAGAAGGGAGATTAGTTCCAGTTTGTGTTCTTAATTAGTCATTTCATAATCAAAATATCTTCCTAAATAGCAGAATGATTTACCGAGTTCAATAGCTAGAATAACGGCGTTGTTAATAAGAAGTTAGGGAGGTATTGAACAGATTTTTTGAGAGCCTTTTTAATGCCAAATGTGCTGCATTTATCCACTCGAACAATCATGTCAGCCCATGGACACCAAATTGCAAATCGGTTTAATAAATGCTGATCTTCAGATTCCGTAATCACGGCTGCGTCATCAGCAAATTGGAACCAGTGGATTGGGTTCAAGAGTTTATATGAAAAACCAAACTGTTGATATTTTTCGGATTTTATGTGCTGGACAAAAGTGTTGAAACAAAGGTTAAACAATAATGGACTAAGACAATCTCTCTGCAAAACCCTACGACCAACTTGTAGAAATGGGGTGTTGAGATCAGATGTGATGATTGATGTTTTAAAATTTGTGTAGAGGCTTTTAATCATGAATTGGATTGAATATGTTCAGATATGTGATGATAGCCGAGAACCGATTGAATTGGATTGTGTGATGTCCTTCACCGAAAGCATTCTTGAGGTCATGGAGGGTTATAACTAAGGATCGCTGTCTAATTCGTGCTTGATTGATCATATATGCCATTAGTGCCGTGTGTTCAAATGTTCCTGAGATATGGGGGGTGAATCCTTTTTGTATCTTGTGTTCAATAAACTTATTCGCAAGTAGGTAAGCGAACATAGCATTACGGAGACTTGTAGTAAATACTTTCAGTGGTACAGATTGAAGGGTTATTGGTCGAAAGTTCTGGGGGAGATTAGCATCGCCTTTCTTGTGGATTAGTATTGTGCAAGCTTTCTTCCATTCGTCAGGAACAGTTCCAGAAAGCCACACTGCTTGGAATAGTTCTACTAGATAAGTTTGGAGGTATGGGCAGCGTTTAAAACAAATAATGGAGATTAGGTCAAAAGGAGAAGGTGAGCCAGATGTTTTCATTTTGCGAATAATGTTTGTTACTTGTTGATAAGTCGGTGAGTTCGAGGTTAAATTCAATAACAGGATGGGGTAACATAGGTATCCAACTTGGTATTTGAAATATTTTATTTGGGTTGATCTTGGTCTGTCTTAAAATGTTTTACGCAATCGTCTATTATGTTAGATGTTTTACGCAATCGCTAATCGTCTTGGTATTTGAAATATTTTATTTGGGTTGATCTTGGTACTGTCTTAAAATGTTTTACGCAATCGTCTATATTGAAAATTGGGAGGATGGATTCGTTGTAAGTAAGGACTTTCTTTACATATCCCCAGAAATTTCGTTCAAAGTATTTATTGTCGTTAAAGGATTCTTCAGTATTATTAACAAAATTATGATTAGTCTGGCAAGTTTTCAGCTTATCACGCACAAGACGAGATACATATTTAATTTCAGCAAGATCAGGGTTTGACGATTTTAGTAGTTTTAAAGTTTTCTTTATGTCCTTCATAGTGTGATTTTTATATTTATGTTTGAGTAAAGTATCCGACAGGCCTTCTACACAGCCGAAGTTCTCAGCGAAGTAGTTGTAGATGGTGTCATTCAATAAGTTAATTGATGAATTTAAATCGTGACTTTTCATTGGAGGATTGGACATTAAAGAAAATTTGAAATGTTCGTTAGCCGTAAGCCATTCTGAATTAGTTAATATTATTAATTATTATTATTAATTATTATTATTTTATTCTGAATTAGTTATTATTATTTATTATTATTATTATTATAATAATAATAATAATAATATTCGCTTACCAAATTATATAAATTATAAAGTATTCATAAAGTCTATAAACTATTTTACGAATATTACTGCAATATTTCTTTGAATATATAACGTGTTCGACAGGACAAAATATTACTTACAAAATTACGAACTAACTGAGTTAGAACAAAACTGTACGAAGCTATATACATTTAAATATTTCTTTCTAAGATTATCCAAGTCTTGACCATGCTTTCAAGACTAAGAAATTTTTGGTCTCATTGTAGAATACTCTGCAGTCTCTGCAGTTCCTAATTTCTTCTGGTAATTGGTTAAAAAGAAGTGCTGATTGGTCCTGTAATGTGTTCTTAATAAAAGGGACTTGAAGCTGAGAGCCTTTGCTTGGTCTCAGAACTCGAGAATGTTGAACCAAGTGTAGCTTTTGGTAACTTGACCAATTTTCATCATAAAGCGCTTTGTAACTTAATTTTAGAACGCCGTGCATTCACGTTGTTCCTTGATAGGCAACCAGTTTAACAATAATACGTCCGCTGAACTAGCGAATTTACCTAGCGCGAAACTAGCTGCTGCTTTCTGTACCCTTTGTAGGCGTTTCTGTAAGAACTCTGGCAGTGAATGGTAAATTACGTCGTTATTGTAAAGTTTTGATAAGACAAGAGCCTGTACTAAGTTCTTACGGATTTTGAATGGTAAACTGTTTTTTTAGTTTTCTGAGCGTGGCAAGGGTGGAGTAACAGGATGAGGCGATGTAGCAAAAGCATGAGCATTATCGATAATACATTGTATCTGAGCATTCCGAATGGTATTGTTTATCTGTGTTAAATTAGTTTGTATTCACACTAAAAAGATTGGGAAAATCAGCCACAAAAAAACTTAGGCAATCTGCTTTTTCTCGTTTTTTGCTAAAACGTGTCTGCAATGTTGACATTATTGACACTAGCACACACGTGACTAGAAAGTTAGTTAAGTATTTTTAGAAGCACGAGGCTAGGGAACCGGGAAGTAATTGGATACGTACTATGCTGTTTGTACAAGTTGTTTGATATCTATTGTTATCCTTAAAAGTGCTTGATAGTGATACAAAACCACGAACATTACATTGGTGACGAGGTAAACAAACAAACAAAAAAAAACAGCTATCGTTTATCAATACAAACGATTTTGAAATCTCTAGTTTGTGAATACAGTCATGGCGACTGGCCGAATCAATGTAGCTCCAATGGCGCCATTTGATCCTATGTCCGATCCAAACTCTCTCAGTCAGCGCTGGAAAACGTGGAAACGACGATTTGAAACATATCTTGTTGCTCTGAATGTGACTGAAAAGAAACAAAAGCTCTTGTTGTACCAAGCTGGCCAAGAGACTCAGGATATTTTTGATACCCTTGTTGACATCGGCGAAGACGACGACTATGATTCCGCTATCGCTGCCCTCGATACGTATTTTTCACCTAAAAAACATGTCGATTTTGAAATTCCTAAGTTTCGTGAAGCCAAACAACAACCACATGAAACAATCGATCAGTTTTCAACTGGCGACCTGTGACTTCGAAAATATCGACAAGGAAGTAAAATCGGCCATAATTCAAAACTGTTTATCGAAACGTCTACGACGTGACGCCCTGCTTGACTCGGAAGTTACGCTAGCCAAGATTCTCGCAAAAGGCAGAGCTTTTGAACTCAGTGAATCGCAGGCAACCGGCATTGAAAACGCACTTCACTCAACACATATTTCTGACGAAGTAGTTGAAGCTGTCCATCCTACAACGAAACATAACAACCATCGTGATAAACAACATACATCGTTTCACCGCCAAGACTTTTACACCTCATCAGAGTGTCGGAATTGTGGGGGCCCCTGGCCCCATAACAACAATATTTGTCCCGCGAAAGGAAAATCTTGTCTGAACTGTGGAAAATCAAACCATTTTGCGAAAGTCTGTCGTAGTGCTCGCAAGGCTCGCGTCGGTCAACAAGAGAATCGAAGGCCTTCAAAAAAATACCACAAAAACAAAGTTCACAAGATTTATGGCAAACCCTCCAGCAGTAAAAGCAGTAGCGAGGATGAATTCATTTTTACTCTGAAACCGACATGTAGAGACAAAACGACTCCACAGGTTCAAATCTCGGTCAACACCACCCCTATCAACATGGTTATCGACACTGGTGCTTCCATCGACATCATCGATGAACTTGCTTTCAACACCTTGCAAAAACAGAGACCCATAGCCCTTCAACGTTCCAAAACACGTATTTTTGCATATGGAGCTACAAACCAGCTACCTGTTATGGGACAATTTCGTGCAACTCTAGAATGTTTGACTGGTGCAACAACCACGCAAGTTCATGTTATCAAAAGAAATTTTGGTTGTTTGCTAAGCTATCAAACGGCATCTGCTTTGGGTCTAATCATGCTGAATGTTAACAATGTGAAACCGGAACATGAACAACTGATGAAAGAGTATGCCCATCTGTTCAACGGAATTGGCACTCTTAAAAATTTTGAAGTTAAATTGCACATTGATGATACTGTTCCTCCAGTAGCACAAACCCCCCGTCGTATTCCTTTCCACATGCGGCAAAAGGTCGACACGTTAGAAAGTGATGGAATTATTGAAAAAGTATCAGATGCCACTCCTTGGGTCAGTCCATTAGTTGTTATCCCAAAGAAAGATGGTGAGATCAGGCTATGCATTGACATGCGCATGGCTAATCAGGCAATTCAACGCGAAAGACATCCGACCCCAACTGTGGATGATTTAATTCACAAATTAAACGGCGCCACCATATTTACAAAGCTTGATCTTCGCTCGGGATACCACCAGTTATCTCTCGCTGAGGAAAGTCGACACATAACCACATTTGTAACGCACAAAGGACTCTGCCGCTATAAGAAGTTGAATTTTGGCACCAATTCGGCAAGTGAAATCTTCCAACATGTAATTAGCGAACAAATCCGTGACATTCCGAATGCCATCAACATTAGTGATGACATAATTATCTTTGGCATAACACAAGCTGAGCATGACAAAGCTCTTCATGAAATTTTTGAGCGGTTTTCACTCATTGGATTAACCTTCAACAAAGACAAATGTGAGTTCAGTCAATCGCAGCTCACATTTTTTGGTTTTGTCTTCTCAGGTGATGGTATTTCACCGGATCCAGCGAAGGTTTCAGCAATTCACAACTGCCCACCTCCAAATTCAATTAAAGCTGTTCGGAGTTTCCTTGGGATGGTGACATATTGTGCGAAATTTATCCCTAATTTCAGTGATCTCACAGAGCCTTTGCGAGAATTAACGAGAAAAAATGTGCCCTTTTGCTGGACATCTAGGCATGCTAAATCCTTCAACGCAGTAAAAGCTGCCCTCACAAGTGCAACAGTTATGGCATATTTTGATCAAACCAAGGAAACAGAACTTATCACTGATGCATCACCTTTTGGTCTCTCAGCTATTCTGACACAGAAAGTCCCAGGATCAGACCAACGAAATGTTGTTGCATATATCAGTCGTTCGCTGTCGGATGTTGAGAGACGATACTGTCAAACAGAGCGAGAAGCTCTTGCAATTGTGTGGGCAATTGAACGTTTACATATTTATCTATACGGAGGACATTTTACTCTGATAACTGATTGCAAACCAGTCGAGTTGATTTTAAATAATCCACAATCAAGACCTCCAGCCAGAATTGAGAGATGGAATTTACGCTTGCAAGATTATGACTTTAATGTAAGGTATACAAAGGGACTTGACAATCCATCAGATTTCCTATCTCGACATTTACCTGTTAACAACACCACTGATGACAGACAGTTCCAAACAATGGCTGACAATTATGTTTGTTTCCTTGCCCAACATGCTGTGCCAAGAGCAATGACTCTGCCTGAAATACAACAAGCCACCATGGCTGATTCAACATTACAGATCCTAAGCAACCTCATCACAACAGGTAAATGGCATTTAATAGACTCTCTCGACGTACAATCAATCCAATCCCAATGTAAAGGTTTTGGACTTGAAAGCATGTGAGAAAATTAAAACAGAACTTACACTAAACGAGCATGATGGAATTATATTACGAGGCTCGCGAATTGTGCTTCCAGAAAGCCTTACACTAAAGGCTGTTCAAATTGCTCATGAAGGCCACCAAGGGCTAGTAAAAACTAAACAGTTGTTGCGAGAAAAGGTTTGGTATCCAGGTATAGACAAGCTTGCTAAGCACACAGTGGATACTTGTTTGTTATGTCAGGCAAATGGACCAAACAGTCACCAAGAACCACTGCGAATGACGACGCTGCCTCCCCAACCCTGGCATACAGTGAACATTGATTTTTGTGGACCATTTCTAGGTGGTTCATATCTGTTAGTGATTATTGATGCATATTCACGATTTCCAGAGGTGGAAATTGTAAGTTCAACATCTGCAAAATCAACAATATTGAAACTTGAACGAATTTTTGCCACACATGATATTCCAAAGGTGTTAAAGAGTGATAACGGTCCACCATTCCAGAGCCATGAATTTAGTCTGTACTTGAAAGAACTCGGTATTAAACATAAACCAAGCTCACCATTATGGCCCCAAGGAAATGGACAAGCCGAGAACTTTATGAAACCACTTGTAAAGGCTGTGAAATCTGCCCATCATGAAAACAAAGACTGGAAACGTGAAATGTTTAAATTTTTGCTCAACTACAGAGCTACCCCACATTCCACCACTGGCAAGTCACCGTCCGAGTTGCTATACAACCGTAAGATTCAAACAAAATTACCTCAAGTGACAGTCGAAAATGATTCTTCACTTCATCAAGAGGTGAAGGAAAGAGATGAAAGGTTGAAAAAGAACCAAAAAGAATATGCTGATTCCAAAAGAAGAGTTAAGTGTGCTGACATCAAGAAAAGTGATTTAGTTTTGGTGCGGCAACCGAAAGCAAATAAAATGTCCACAAAATACGATCCAATACCATATGAAGTCACAAATCGCCGTGGGAACAGGATCACAGCAATTAGGAATGGGAAATATATAACTCGGAACATTTCGTTCTTTAAAAAGTATCACCCCAGACATGGCAGATCGTTGGAGTCAACAGAGATAATGGATGAAGAAAATTATTCCTCAGATGAAGATGTCCACGAAGAGCATGAACAGTATGATGGACTGAGACAGAATGATCGTCCGCGGCAGAACAATGGTCAGAGACAAGATGATGGTCCGAGATATCCGGCAAGAGAAAGACAGCGGGTGTACAGATATGGAAATAACATTTATGATTGACCTGGACTAAAACAGATAAGATACAGTTTAAACATTATATGCATATTTTGTTATAGTTAGTACTAGAGTTCATATTTAAATCAAGGGAGGGATGCAATGTTGAAATTATTGACACTAGCACACACGTAACTAGAAAAGTTAGTTAAGTATTTTAGAAGCACGAGGCTAGGGAACCGGGAAGTAATTGGATACGTACTATGCTGTTTGTACAAGTTGTTTGATATCTATTGTTATACTTAAAAGTGCTTGATATTGATACAAAACCACGAACATTACATGAGAGAGACACGCTATTAGTCTTTATTGATCTGTCCAAAGCTTTTGACAGTATACAACACGACATCCTTCTCCAAAAGATACTACGTTTAGGCGTCTCTCCTGCAGTCCACGAATGGTTTAGGAGCTATTTGACGGATATATCTCAATATGCCCGTATAGGAACCACCACCTTAACTACAGCTCCATTAACACACGGAATACCGCAAGGTTCAGTGCATGCTCTCACCGTTCTTATTCAATATTTACACTGACAGTCCATCTTCAATCCCAGAATTCTGTAGCTTCGAATCTTACGTGGACGACTCTGAAGAGTATCTATATATATATATCCTTCTCACTACCGATTTTGGACTCTTCTTTATCAACTATAGAAGACGACTTGCATGCATAGAGTGTTCGAATGGTGTTGCAGCTTACTGATAAATCCAGACAAAACTAAAATGATGGTAGGTGGATCACAACAATTACTTCAACAACTGGATCATGTCCCTAGCATTAATTTGATTGGGAAAACCCTGGAACTTGTGTCGCAAGTCAAAGACTTGGGGACAATACTTGACTCTAAATTAAAATATAACGAACACATACAGAATTTATCATCATCATTTATAATTTTTGAATTTTATTAATAAAATATAGACTTTGCAACCATGAAGGTTGAAATACATCTATCATTTACAGGGTTGGTTGATTAGAAAAATATTGTATATTTACAAAAACATATTTACTATAATATAGGAAGAGTTTAGAACTTCTAGTATAATATTACCATAATATTTACAAATAAAAATGTATGTAATTTATAGTTACTCAGTGTTTATTATAAATCGTTACAGACGAGGGAATGTACGAATTTTTGAAGCGATTTGTCCGACAATTAATTGGAACGAGTTTATTCGATGTGCGTAGATTGTAGCTTGGATGTTCGGCTGGTTCAACTAGTTCGGAAAGAGGACTAGTTTGCGGAAGAACCTTTTTCCTAAAAAATTTTGAACATAACAGTTCGCGCCTAGAATACAATGTTGGGATATTGAGATCTGATAAGGATTCTTTGTTATCTCCAAACTTTGTCAGATCAACCGGGTAAAGCATCTATTTGACCAATCAACATTAACCACCATCATAAACGCACTAGTTATGAGTAAAATCAACTACTGCTCACCAATATGGTCCAATACATCTGAAGAGAACGTCAAGAAAATCCAGCTAATTCAGAATTATGCAGCGAGGGTTATTTCAGGAAATGTCGGTAAATATGACCATGTATCTCCTTTATTAAAGGAACTCGGTTGGTTACCAGAATACAGAGACGCTGTCCTCACCTACAAATGCATACATAATCAAGCACCTCCATACTTAGGTTACAAGTTCAGAAAAAGAAATCAAATCCATGAATCATGATCGCGCTACACGAAGCCAAAATGATCTTGACATTCCAAAGTATCGGACGGCGACCGGCCAAAGAACATTCAAAAGCAGAGGAACCAAAATCTGGAACGCATTGAACGAGGAATTCAAATTTAGTGCCGTTGATATCAACAATTTTAAATCTAAATAGTAAATTAAAAGCAGGGCTTTTAGAATAAAATATACAATTTACATTTTAATCTTGGTAACCAGTAATTATTTGACAATTTTAAATAAATATAAAATAGACAATTTGTAAATACTTTTAATTGCACATAATAATTGTAAATTGACATTGAAAAACCCGTTTTGGGATGCCAATAACTTTAAAATTAAATTAAATTATTCGCAGCAACATCGATGAATATATTAATACAAATAGAGAAAGAGCAAAAAAATGATCGATGTTTACCAAGAGCTTTTAAAAAATCATTTATAAGGAAAGGTGTATCTATGTTATTTCTTTAGCCTACTAGATATCTTTGTTCGTCTAAGAGAATGCTAAATACAATCGATTTGAATATTTTGCGTAGTACAAAGGTCACAGACCCACAGCTATCATTTGTACTAAAATATCAAATGCCATCTTTGTATTGGCAAAGCGTACACGTGCACATCTCATGACCAAGCGTACACGTGCACAGCTCGATGTATTATATCATATTATATACAATAGGGCATTAATAATTGTTGTTATTATTTGTTGAAGTTATTGCATGCATTTATTGGTTTGGGGTTGAAGTGCTCCCAAAGGTCACTTCATGCCCATAGTGAGACTCATTCAATGTAAATATAATCGGTCGAGTTATAGGAACTGTCCAAGGGACCCTTACACCTTGGTTCAGGTTAATAAGGTCAGAGGGGATCGCTACCCTTCTGGCATGTGCTCTGGGGACCCTTACCCCCAGGGCAGCCCTAGGGACCATTACCCCTAGAGTTATCAGAGCGGGCCTTATATATACCCCGCAGGATGAAATATAAGGCGATAAAGAGTCTATTGGGTTAAATATACATATAATGTGACACTTACTGTAACACTACTTCAACCCCATAACCCATTCTCCCACACAAAAGCTGTCTGTGTCTACTCTTAATTCTTAGCTCAGTTAGCTGGCTAGAGAGCAATAGTTCCATTAAATCACATTACAGTATGTCGAAACGGTTAAATTAGAAGCATTTTAAAAATCACGTGACCAGTGTTTTCAACCCAAAATTAATTTATCTATTATTAAAGATGCTATTGCCTCATACGCGCCTGCATTACTTACCTGTTGAGGATTCTATAGTAACTTCATCTAATCACCCTGCGTCGTCCTATAGTAGATGATTCGATTCGCGAAAAATGCACTTGGGATCACTCAGATTCAATATTTTACGAATACAATTTTACATGCACTATTGAATAAACCGTCTTTGGTCCTTTAGTATTTACAGTTTAACTAGCTATTTATTACACACCCTATTCGTGTTTTTGGCATAATGGCATGTATTGTCTTGACAACCGGTCTGTCTTAATTAAAATGAAACTAGAGCCCAATCACATTAAATTTTATGATTGCTATTGGTCATTGCAAGTGGTTTTGAATTTCATTGCTATTTAACGCTACGTATTCTGACTCAAACACCACCGATATTGGTGATTGGAAAGTCCGCTCTGCGAAAAGCATATGTTTTGTTGAGTAGGGTTGAAAAGGTAAGGGAAAGTAGTCAATGACAATGTAATTTTAACCTATATAACTATTTTAGCAAAATAACGCTTGAATTGGCCTCTCATGCAATATGTCTACAAAATAGTCTACAAAATTACTATGTTGACCTAATGCGTTTTATAAATTGCTAACTATAGAACAATTAAATATTCTAACTGCATGCAATGCGGCAAGATTTAACATATAGGCGGTATATGTATGTGACTATATGTGCCAAAATTGGAAATATTAGTCGAACGATATTAGTAAGTATATACTAATGCCAAGGGACTTCTAAGAAAGAAGTGTGTAGTGCATAGACAGCAGCTGCTGTGTAATGTGCGATCAAAGCACAATTCGGCAAACTGCATGCATTTCAGTGTTACTGCATGACAACGCGAGTTGGTAAAGAATGGTACGGTGGGTCCGAAATTGCTTGCGCGCAATTTAGTAATTTCACAAACGCAATAAATTCTATGACACAACACACGGCTATAACATACCTCATGCATGTATAGTCGATAAGTAAATGTCTTAAATGAATACTCCGTAGCTGGATTAGTGGATTTTATGCAGTCTGTCTATGACATTCGGGAAATTAGTTACGACTGCATGATTGTATTATTAATACAATCACTATAATTTTTTAAGGATGCATGTGCATGCATGCAGTGTGCATTTATCTTAGTCTTTTCACTTTAGAAAATCGAGAGTTAGAAGAACTGAATATAACTGAGACAAGTTCGTTAGGTGAAATACAAAAAATGGTTTGGGCTGATTGATCAGCTAAACTGTATTGTTTTTGATTGCATGAGTCGGGTTCATTATTTGGGCCCCATGCATGCATGCATGCATTTTAAAAATGTACCACTGAACTTAGATTGGAATGCATGTAAGATAGGTTTCAGGACGCATCGACAGTAATCGAAAAGTTTAAGTATCACATTTAAGCTAAGTAAGTATAGAAGATAATCTTATTGCTATTATTATATATTGCCATAATTACATGATATTGCTGTTGGTTTTGATTACATTTCAGAACGTAACAGTACAAACATTCGGAGGAGTTTTATGAATATGTAGTGGTACAGAGACCAATATATCCGGCACAAATTATGCACATACTGTAAACATATAAATAAAAGGTGTTCAGTATACTACTAAAGCCCAATGCCTGTTTAGAAGGTTGCCTAGGTATATATATGCATTTAAAATATGGTGTATGTATAAACAGTATACTATTACGGCTGCATGCAGAAGTAAGTAAATTATAATGATGATCGTTTGTGCAGATAAGTTGATTCGATATATTTGTTCGCCTTTGATTGAGTCGTTTATTATGGATGATACGTACACTGTTGTATTCATAATTTATTTTGTTCGGCTCAACAAGTAAATAACTGTTGGAAATTATTTCGAAGAATATTGAAAGCCGAGAATGGAAAGAACATTCCCAACAAGCTTGCAAATACATGTTCATGCATGTGAGGGGTATATTTCTTGCCACTCGGCTGTCACCACACAAGTATTTTTGCTATTTTCTAAATTTAGACTGTTATTTTTTCGTGACATTCCTATAACTGCATCCCCTGTATGTGAGTTCATGAAATCTAAAGATTATAGCCATAGGAGGCTAGCACTGTTATTTACAAGGGAATTAGGCTACATAATTAAAAACACACATGTACATAATTAAAAACACACATGTACATGGTTTTATACGATTTCATGGGAAGTTCCGTGTATAAAATAAGTGCAACAATCAAGTACTTATATAACTGAACGAAAAATTATTCAAGTTATAGCCTCAGTTGGGAAAAAAAATTGCTGTGACCTGAACCGATCTGCCAAGAACAGAAAATACATGCAATGAACAGGGCCGCCCAGAGCTTTTTGGGGACCTGCATGGGGCAAAATTTCCTCTTCGGAGTTTTTGGGGGGCCCCGTCCACTCCCTAAAATTCCCTTTTGGGGTCCCTATTAAGCCTGTTTCCCTGGGCGGCCCTGGCAATGAATAGCACCTGAATTTAAGCACATCAAATAGTTATTGGTTTTCTCGAATTTTCATAAGTTAGACTACATGTACATCAAATTCGTTTGTTCCAAATCGAGTTCAAACAGTTCATACTGTGGAATTCAAGTAGCGTGCAGGCATGCAGTATATAAAACTAAAATATCCAGACAAACAACCGAACTTCTCGCAGTTTGATCTCTGTTTGTTCTTGGCATGCATGCATGCAGGCAGGTATTAATCCATATCAGACATGTTTCTCTAGTATCGTACCCGACACTCCATTCTGATAGCGTCTTCATCAGAGACGATGCTGATTAAACCAACAATGTTCCCTTTTCTGGATGAAAGCGGACTCCACTGTTGAATGGAAAGCACCCCGCATGATCGAAAGCCATGCATGCAGTTGCATATTTACATTGATATTCTTGTAGATTTAAGCAGTCAATAAGTATTATCAGCACCTTTGTATTCACAAGACAACGCCACAATCCGGCCATGATGATGAAAATAATAGCACACAATTATAAGTATACTGCATGTAAACGTACTGATATAGAGTCTTTTTCTTTAATTAAAAATTTTAGAGTAAGAGGCTTTGCCTTTGGTATCGGCGAGTGGCTGACTTAATTAAAAATGCGGCTATCTGAAGCTACTGCATGTACAGAATATAATTGTCAGACGAGATTTATTGGTAAACTAAAGAAATCACCAACTATGACCAGTGTGACGGCAACTGGATATCCAGTACAGACATGTGATTTTAAGGCGATTGGAATGAAAATGAGGTTACGCCAAATTTGATTGATTCTGTATTGATTTGCATTGCGAGTTTTCCCGTGTAAAATCAACTTCAATTAGCATTAGCATAGACTTTCGTTCTCTTAATTAAAATACTGATTTGCGCAGACTGGATTTCTTGTAAAGTCCTCATATAGTCAGATTTGATATATTCAGTTAAAAGATGAAATCGGGATGCGCACGCATGCGATATCATTCACAGATAACAGATTCGAACAATTAACTGTGAACAAAGAAACTTCTGTTATTTGATAGCTAGAGCTCAAGTTTTAATACGGTTGAACATAATTGTTTTGGTAAGAGGATATACTGAATGTGAGCGTGTAAACAATATATTGTGAAACTTCTTCGAATAGTTGCGTTGCTTAAATTGGACGTGTTTTTCTAAAGCCCCGAAAATTCCGGTGCGCGTTTTTTTGGCGTATTACTCAATTCAACAACAAAGAGCATGGTCACGGGTCGGTTTAATTAGAACAGAATTGCTAAAGTAATAATTTCAAGATTCATACTGCCGAAATCATATGTTACTACAATCCGCTGCTATTTTTGTGTGCGCAAAATAGCACGAGCGCAGTAAATTTACTCAATACTGCTCGGGGAGCTGGCAAGACAAATATATCCTACTGCAGAACCAGCATGCAATATTGGAAAATTATATGGCATATGTGTCACGTTCTGTAAATGTTTGACTAAAACACGCAACTCTGCCTCTGCATGGAATTTCATTGTGAATTTCAAAAAATGTAAAAGAAGGGATAAGATTATCACTAGTCATCATGTATAATCATAGGTAGCCCAGACACACTGTGCGATTTAAATTTAAATGCTTGGCATACTTATTATCCCCTGCGGTACGATTTCAAAATAATAATGTTAACGATTAGCTCAAAAATATTCCGAATTTTTACACTAAAATGTATCACTAATCAATACTTATCGTTGAAGGAAATATACTTAGGCACATAGCATTCATCAGCGAAAATAAATGGTTTATACCTTTAGTAGAAGCACTTGAAATCCAGCTTTAAAATCATGACACTCACGGCGACGCGGCGGAGTCCCCGTGAGTGTCATGATTTTAAAGCTGGATTTCAAGTGCTTCTACTAAAGGTATAAACCATTTATTTTCGCTGATGCATGCTATGTGCCTAAGTATATTTCCTTCAACGATAAGTATTGATTAGTGATACATTTTAGTGTAAAAATTCGGAATATTTTTGAGCTAATCGTTAACATTATTATTTTGAAATCGATACCGCAGGGGGTAATTAAGTATGCCAAGCATTTAAATTTAAATCGCACAGTGTGTCTGGGCTACCTATGGTATAATCAAGGACAATTTGTGTAGTTGTGCTGATTGACTATATGTCTATAATTGCATTTATTATTTTCCTCTGCTTTCGATTGGGTTATTTACTATATGAACTACACGTGACTTATGACGTATTATACGTCAACTAATGTTGTTATGACTTATGAACAAATATATTGAATATTTAGACAATGCATGGTTGGGAAGAAGATTCAGTTAATTTTATCTGAATCTTATCATACTCGCCTGTCACCATGCAAGATGGCAGTTGTAATTAGTATCAGTACTTTCTGATGTTTTGTCTTGGCAATATTACTGTAAAAGCACGGCCGCGGATAAAAGGCGGACGCAGACTCGCGGGTAGGCGGACACTTAATATTAAAGACATTAAGATATAATACTATAAATCCACAACAAAAAAACTTTCATATTAAGGATTTTTGTCATAAAGGACATAACACCCACATGCAGTTGTTTACTGATTATTTATTTAATGAAAATAGCAAAGTTTAATTTAATCGCCAATCAGAATGCGCTTATTTTTTATAACTTCTAGTGTTTGCACAATTGTTTACCTATTTTTTGCTTTTTTTGCTGCGTCGGGATAAATTGCAATTGATCTATATAACATGCAGCCTAGTCCCAGTCGTTCTGAAGCAAGCGCGAGAAAAAAGTGGATGTATATTGCGAGACTGGGACCTAGGTGTGACGTCACCGCTCAAGGTGCTTCAGAACGCCTAGCAGATTTCAGTATTTTTAAAATGGCGGAAAATTTATATATACAAGTAACCATTTAATTATAAATACGACAATGTTCGTTCATCATGTACATGTTCGATGTCTATATAACTAAATCAAACCGTATTAAAAATGTGCTCAACTAAAAAAAATTATATACAAATTTACGATACCGAGTTTGAGCAATCGTTGATGTTACTTATATACTCGCAAGTTGTGATCAACACTAGACCATACTGGTATACACAACTACGCTTTCTACTTGACAGGTTTAAATTGCTGAGGAGATTGGAAATATTTGCCTGACATGACGGTGTTGTCAAACCATAATTAGTCGGAGACTCGGCATAATTTTCAAGCTTCTAGATAGCATTTAATATGGCTATATAATTTAGTAAACACGAGTCATATTTAGCCTGTTATTCCATTCTGACCGTATGGCAGCGAAACGTAGCCTATTTCATTGTTCCGACAGCATTAGAGCAAAACTAATGACAGACTTAATTATAAATGCAAAGGAAATTTCCATAACATTTTCCATTTACAAATGAGGTATGCTTCGTAACCAGCCTTGTCCCAGTCGTTCTGAAGCAAGCGCGAGAAAAAACGTGGATGTAGTACGAGACTGGGACCTAGGTGTGACGTCACCGCTAAAGGTGCTTCAGAACGCCTAGCAGATTTCAGTATTTTTAATATGGAGGAAAATTTATATATACAAATAACCTTGTAAATACGACAATGTTCGTTGATCATGTTCGATGTCTACATAACCAAATGTGCTCAATTAAAAATATTTATATACAAATTTGCGATACTGAGTCTGAGCAATGGTCGTATAATCGTTGATGTTATTTATATACTCGCAAGTTGTGATCAACACTAGACCATACTGTTATACACAACTACGCTTTCTACTTGACAGGTTTAAGTAACTGAGGAGATTGGAAATATTTTCCCGACATGACTGTGTTGTCAAAACATTTTTAGTCGGAGACTCGGCATAATTTTCAAGCTCCTAGATAGCATTTAATATGGCTTTATATTTTAGTCAACACGAGACATATTTAGCCCGTTATTCCATTCTGACCGTATGGTAGCGAAACGTAGCCTACTAAATTGTTCCGACAGCATTAGAGGAAAACTAATGACTTAATTATAAACGCAAAGGAAATTTCCATAACATTTTCTATTTACAAACGCGGTATGCTTGGTAACCAGGCCAGGGACCACTTTTTTGAAATCAGGGACCATTTTACCGAAATCTGCTAGGCTCTCTCGCTGAAGCGTTCCGCACAGCACACCCAGGCATAAAACTTTTAAGACTTATATAAATATATCAAAGCAGCGAATAGACAGAGAGAGAGCCTGGGACTAGGCTGCTTCGTAACCAGGCCAGGAAACCATTTGAAATCAGGGACCATTTTACCGAAATCTGCTAGGCTCTCTCGCTGAAGCGTTCCGCACAGCACACCCAGGCATAAAACTTTTAAGACTTATTTAAATATATCGAAGCAGCGAATAGAGAGAGAGCCTGGGACTAGGCTGTATAACATGTATACAAATGAAACTGGTGCAGGCAGATCATTTCCTGTTTCAAGTATAAAACTATGCATGGAATCCATTGCCGGCATAAAAAAGCAACCCTCAGTTGTAACTATAGAGCATTTGCACTCATTCCCCAGGGACCAACTTAACAAAAGTCATGGCGGCCATGTTGGTGTTCCAGACAAAAGGGTCTAATTAAAATTCTTTTGAATTGGAACACATATGGCGGCTGTGACGTCATGTGCAACTGATTACGCTCTATAGTTCTGTTTTAACTCATTAATGTAGTTTTATATATATTACTCAAATATTTTATGAACTTCTAATTGTTAGCGTAACTCGAGGACCACAAGTTTATCAAGCTTACTGTTACGTGTTATCCTCGTAAAATAAAGTTTATCTATCTATCTTAGTATCTATCTAGCTGAGACTTGAAGAATTACACTATGCATATACTGTATATACGAACGTATTCAACTATTCAATCATTATTTCAATATGCAAAAAAATGTTCATGAATTAATATTATGTTATTACGTGTCTAATCCCTTACAGAAATAAACTATAGTTTTTTAGACCAAAAACTATAGTTTTAAAAACTATAGTATTTTGGACAAAAACTATAGTTATGGAAAGTATAGTAACTATAAAAACTATAGCAATTGTAGAAACTGTAGTTTTGTGCAGAGGCTATAGTTTTGGCTAACTGAAACTATAGTTTTGGCAAAAACTATATGGTTTTGGCAAAAACTTTAGTTTAATTTGACTACTACAATTATTGTTTTAATAATACGGAATTTATATATTTCATCGGTTGAGAAAGGCGAGGAATTGCTGCATGCCGGTGTTTCTAGTCTTATAAATACAAAATACCTCATTCCCTCTGGATAGCAGCATTTGTAGCTGAATGGTCCACCTTGGGGCGGACCATTTGACGTATGAGGGGGGTTGGAAGATTTCGAAAAAAAATTCATGAAAAAAAAATCATCGAAAAAAAAATCATGCAGCAAACAATCGAGAAAAAAAATATCATGCAAAAGAGAGCGCTCAAAAAAAATTCTTCCGCTTCACTTCAGTATTGTGTCCACAGGCTTGCAAGATTTTGCATTTTTGAGCAGGCACATTTGCTTAAAAGAACACGGGGTGAACAGTGGACAACATCACAGGGTTTCTACGGCCTTTGGAGCCTCTAACATACGATAGCCAGTGAAGTTCCCTGGCAAAATTGTTGCCCCCCCCTGAGAAAATCTGGGCTTAAGATATGTACAAGTTTATAAGTTATTTATACATATCTAATATATGCATGGTAGAAAAAGTATTTTGGGATGGTTGAATCCGTGTGCGTTTTTTGATAATATAGCTCCAAACTATTAAAGCTTCAAAGGCCCATCTACAGGATGTAAGTTGAACGTATTGTATATACGATGATTTTAATGCGAAAATGCCAGTTTAGAGAGTCTAGATTTTAAAAAATTTCTGAAGAAGATGCAACCCGATCCCCAACAAGCTATTTGCAGGAACGATTGAAAAGCTACAGAGCTATATTTGGTGGAACATTGTTGTTTTGGAGGGCAGTTAAAAATCGCATTATTGAAATCTCGTTTTATTACATATTAATCAAAGCTCATTTGTGATTTTTTCCTTGTTTAAAATAAGGGACAGTAAGTGTTCCTTAGGCTTAGTACAGCAAAGTTGTCGTGGACGAATCCATGGCTGAAAACGCAGGAAATAGCATTTCCGAGGTTCAAATTTTAAAATTTTCTCGGGGGAGCATGCCCCGAACCCCCAAAGGTTACAGGTCATTCATATATTGTACCCTCCCCCCATTTTCGAGTACTCTAATCTATCCCTGCATGTTTTAGGTTTTGGTGCAGTTATACATTTTTTGTAAGTAAACTTGCACACTTTAGTGTGGGGAACATTAAGACATAACCATATAAAATAAAGCAGAGTGAAAATTCCTTGGCCCCTCTTGGGATGCAGTTCTCGGCCTCCTCTGAAAACCCCGGCTACGTCTCTGATGATAGCTATATGAAAACCTTAAGTTAAGTTACTGTAAGCCGTTATTATGAGAGGCAAAAAAATATCCTGCCGCGAAATATATTGGGAAAAAAATATCTTGCGCTGCACTTTAACAGGAAAATAATATCGATGTCTTGTTCGCCTGGGCGGAAATGATCTTCCAACCCCCCCCCCTCCCCCCTCCCCTCAAAAGTCAAATGGTCCGCCCCTAAATGAAGTCACTTAATTTCACTTAACAAAAGTATTCAGTTATTGCAGGTCAAATGCGAGAAAGCATTATAAGGGGGTGTTAATTTATACGGAAGAGAGCCATCCCGCGCGAGTACCCGAGCTACAATCTTGGACAAAACACAAAATTTTAAGACAACTATGAGATCAAATGTCATTTTCAAGAGTGTTTAGTGAATTTCTATGGTTTCCCCCCTCTCCCCCCTTCCCCAATTCAATGTTGATTGGATGAAAATTACATGTACTTGGGTTATGTTGGGTTATGTTTTCTGTACTTGTTATCAAATACTAGCAACATTGGACCATGATTCATTGGACCAACAATGGACCATAAATCCATGATAAAACTACAGCTACAGAATATATAACAATAGCTACAGAATATATTTTTATAGCATGAATATTACACTTTGTCCAAGATTGTAGCTCGCTTTTCCAAGCTGATTTCATCCTGTGTTTACATCCTGACTTTTGAGGATCACGAACCTGAAATTCGCACTTTCGCGACGAGTATCTTTCACGGTATCTCACAAAATCATTCATAGGGACCTTTTAAGATCGAAATCTGTCGAGAAAATCTTATTTACAACAATATCTTCGCGTGAAGAGAGCAATAACACTACACCTTCCCCCCCCCCCCTTTGGCGAGCCAGCCCAGGTAATCCATTTATATACAGCATGGGAGATTTCCAGCCCGGTCACCCGAGATCTCGGATCAGTCGAGGCGGGATCTCGCTTGTAGGCTTCTATGGGGCCAGTTCGGTTTCCATCTAAACGCAAAATGAAATTAAACTTAGTGAGAAAAATAACAAAGGCGAGATCTCGCCTAAACCGGGGCTAGCCCGGGTATACCCGGGCTGGCTCGCCCCATAGAAACAGCCGCTAAGAAAGACTTAACTTAAATTAAGCTTAAATATTCATGTATTGAATATTATGACAGACAGAATTATGCCTTAATTAGGTTACGGTTAAAAACTATTTCTAAAATGATTCGTTGTTTAAAACAGTTCCTGAACGGATCGTGTTTATACTTAGATTGCCTAATACTATTGTTAATTATATATGCCTTAATTGAATTACTGATGATAAAACTATTTCTATAACGGTTCGTTTTTACTCTTGGGTTAATGAATTTCGTCTTTTTCCGTAAATTAAGCGAGATATTGTTTTTAGCAGGCTGTAGTTCGTGTAATTTGTGTGCATCATCGTTCATAATATTTAGGAAGACTTTGTTGGTAATCTGTTGGCGCCGTAGGAATAGCAGTAGTAATATAGAGGCCGTTCGACCCGGATTTTTGAGGAGAAGGAGTGAGGAGCAGGATTGAGGAGTGGAGGAGGAGGAGTGAGGAGGAGGATTGAGGAGTGAGGAGGAGGAGTGAGGAGGAGGATTGAGGAGTGAGGAGGAGGAGTGAGGAGAAATGAGGAGGAGGAGGAGTGAGGAGGAGTGAGGAGGAATGAGGAGTAGTAATGACGTCACTCATTATCATACGTCATAATTATATGCAATGACGTCACGCGGGCAGGTTTAAACAAGGACGGGTGCAACTTGCTGACTACGCATTTTTCAGCGTCCCTCCTCATGTGCGACACAATAGTTAGGGCTATATGCAAGAGAATATGTTGTTGTCTGGAGTTTTATAAGTACAGCTCTAGCATTTTGCTGTTATTCCTTTAATTTTTCTCCTAGAGGAGAAAAAAGATCTGATAATATATAAATAGCATTAGTGTTATATATCTAAAACTTATATATTCGGGGTATACAGCTATATGTTTTGTTGTTAAGTAATATATAAATATTATCAAGCGTCAAAACATAAGAGTTATTATCTATCTACAATTAAACTAATATTTAAATCCCAGTCTACCATATGAAGTCTATATACGAGAGAATATGTTGCTGTCTAGGGTTATATATATAAACACATGGAAATTAGAGGTTATGATATATAATTGTCAAGCGATTTCTATATTTTATTGCTAGTAATATTTTATTTCTATATTTTATTGCTTTTTAAAGTACTAAAACTCGGATAAGGTTAATAAATTTAAGCTATATTAAAGCACACCGGTTGCTATGTGTTGTTAGGGTGACACTAATTAAAGGATTAACTTTTATCAGAGATTTGCATTTTTCTACTGTGTGGATAAATACGGGTAGATTAGGACATTCATTGCGCGGGCGTCGCGGGTTATCCGTGCGGGAAGAGAGAAAGCGATTTAGACAAGACAGGCGCGCTTTGCAGCCAAAAGTTGAAAGACTTTGTGTGGAATCATGTAATGGTTGTCAAGTCGGTCATCCTAGTCAAAGACAACATGACTACTTCATGATGAACGAAAACGAACGATGGCAAATAAGGAATCTATTCGTCACAAAAAATCAAGACATATTTTAAACTAAACAGCCGGCTAATCCCGAGTTGTCAACGTCGTTGTTAAGGTTAATATTTACATATTGTTCAACGTTATTTTAGCAAATATTCTACATACATATATACTGTTAAGATGACCGAGTCAGATCATAAGTAAGCTTATCAAGAATATAAGTTAGAATTGGAACAGTTGTAATATATTTTGCGATAAAAACATGTAACCGTTATATACGTTGTTATGTGTTACTAAGTCATTAGCGACGCTTGGGTGCATGCATATATTAACGTACAATATATTTGTACACTAATCAGGCGGGCGGGTCGCGCGGCCGGAAAGAGCGGGCTTTGCC